GTCCATCTTAGTGAGGCAGGCATCGGGTAGGGGTGTGAGCTGGCTGGTCACATTGTATCCACACTCAGGAAGAAGAGAGAGCTGGATGCTAGACCCCACTCCCTTTCTCCTTTTATTCAGTCTGGGACCGCAGCCAGGGGATGGTGCCACCTGCATTCAGAGTGGGTGTTCCCTCTTTGCTAACCCTCTCCAGAAAGGCCCTCACAGACCCATTCTGTCTCTCCTCCTAGGAGATTCCAAATCCAGTCAAATTGGCAATGAAGTTTTTTGTTGTTTTCTGAGACAGGGTCTCATGTAGCCCAGGCTGACCTATGTTGTCAAAGATGACTTTGAGCCCCTTATTCTGGCTCCACCTCCCAAGTGCTTGGATCACAGTACATACCACCATACTAGCTATCAGGCTCTTGTTACAATGGTCTGAATAAAGTCTACCTCACTATTTTAACAAGTATAGATCAGTTTTCTTTAATAATACTCAAGCTAGAAAGGCAAGGAAAATTAAGGGGGCACAGTAAGGTACAGGACCCCTCAACTTTGTGATCTGGTTTAAGTCTCTTGCCAAGAGCTTCCAAATTGCCTACAAAGGGCTATAACCCATTGTCTGAGAATCCCACAGCAGTATTGTAAACCCTGTGGTGATGGTTAATCTTTACTGTCAGTCAGACAGAGGGTACATGCCTGTGATTCCAGGACTTGGAAGTTGGAGACATGAGGATCAGGAGTTCAAGGTCATCCTTGGCTACATAGAGAGTTTGAGGCCAGCTTAGGCTATATGAGACACTGTCTTTAAAATAGCATTTCAAAAAGAGGAGAGACCTTGGACTCCACCCTGAATACAGTAAATAAGACAGGGAGTTATCCCTAACACAGGATTAGTGGATAAAAAAGTGCTAAAAGAAAACATCAAGGGTAGAAAGCTTCTTACTGCAGACAGACTAAGGTCTTACACATCAAACGTAGAGAGTGAGTCCTTGACCAGCTACCAAGAGTTACCACGTGATGGCTGGAGAGATGCCTCATCGATGAAGAGCACTCGCTTCTCAGGGTTGGGCTCCCAGCACCCATGTGGAGGCTAACAATGGGCATTGTACACAGGTGGTGCATTTATATGCATATAGGCAAAACACACATAAAAATAAATAAATCAAAATAAAAAGCGTTATCAGCTATGGGGGGGGGCGGTCTGACTGAAAGAACTCACAGGGTTTTGCTGAAACTCAGCTAGGCAGGTAGATCGCCTAGGCATGAAGATCAAGACTGTGAAGAAAGTTCAGAAGGAGCCTGACCAAAGTTTAGGGAGAGACAGCATGCACCAGATAGCATGTGTACTTTCCTGAATATCTGAAGCATTCTGAGTAAAAAAAAATTCAAATAAACAGAATCATAGACATCAAGAATCTGAAAATTTTGGTTCCATCAGAATTTTCCCAACTTTACTTTCAATACACTAAACATTATCTTAAAAAAGGAAAAAGAAAAAAATACTTCACAAAGCTGTATGAATTTAGTCGTTATTGCTTTGTTTGTTTGGATGGTTAGTTGGTTTTGGTCTCTTCATAAAATTTTCTGGGGCTGGGAATGTAGCTCATTTAGGAGAGTGCTTGCTTAGCATGCCTGAAACCCTGGGTTCAATCCCCAGCACCACATAAAACTGTGCACAGTGGCACAAGACAGTAACCCCAGCAACTCAGGATGTAGAGGCAGGAGGATCAGAAGTTCAAGGTCATACACTATATATATTAAGTTTGAGAACAAGGTGGTTGCATGACTCTCTCTCTCTCTCTCTCTCTCTCTCTCACACACACACACACACACACACAAATTCATTAGGGTTTTAGAACTAGAAGAACCAAGAGTTCACTTGGCTTCATCTATTTTATATATGAGGACTTAGCCAAGGTAACTTCCAGAAAGACTTCTAGGTAACACCAAGTATCTGAGCATACATGACACCTTAAAACTTTATTATCTGGCTAAGTGTGGTGGCTCAATCCTGTAATCCCACTATCCTGGAGTCTAAGACAAGAGGATCTCAAGTTTTAGGCTATCCTGTGCTACATGGCGAGTTCTAGGTTAACATGTGCAGCAAGCTCTTAAAACACACACACACACACACACACACACACACACAAACACACAAACACACACACTCATTCACACTACTTTTGTGTATTAGAAATCAAATTTTTCTTAATTTACAAATTTTAAATTTTATTTAATAAATAAACTGTAATTCTAGCCCAGCCCAGGCTGGCCTCAAACTTCCAGCCATCCTCCTGCATCAGTCTGCAGTGTTGAGATCACAGATACAAGCCATCAGGCCTAGTGTGAGGAAATATTTAAGGGTTTAAACAGTAAACTTTTGAGTTGTTCACTATGATTTAGTATCTCAACAATTCTAGTTTCAAAACAGTGAATTCTACATTAGGATGATGTGCCCTATCTCTCGATGTTGGTCCACATCTTTACAGTAGGCTTGAATTCATTAGCTCAAAAGCTAAGCTGCCCCTAACTTAAGTTTTTTCACATCCAATTGCTTTGCTCAGATTACCAACCATATGTTTAGTTATGTAGAGCCTACCTGCTGTAAATCTACCAGAAAACTGCACCTAGTAACAGCTAGCCAAAGATAAGATTGGCCCTGTGGACTGTGAAGGCCACAGGCCCCTGCTGCCCTCCTGAGGTGGACAAGCCCAGGAAATACCGCTAGCACCTGGGACTCCACTTGGCTTGGGCTGTACACACCCCTCTCTGAACAATGCACCCAGCAACGTTTTGGCAATCTAGTACCCCCACCTGCATCAGGCTGCATGTATACCTGCTTAAAACTATGAAAGGAAGTTACTTCCCTTAGTAACTGCTCAATTTCTATTCAGATATGTCCAAGAACACATCCTGAAACTGGGAGATAGGCCAGTCTGGCCTAGACTGGTTTTGAGTGCATGCCCAGTAAGGCAGACTGTGCCCATTAGTGAAATTTTAGAGTTAGTGAATATTTATCGTCTTATGCCTATGCATAGTTGGGTATGCATATTATTAAGTTCAAATGAGCAAAGGCTTACATAATCCAAGCCTGTCAATCAAACTTGGGAACCCCCACTATGGCCCTTAGCAACCAATCTCCTCCTTCTCTTGAACCCTATAAATGAAAGCCCCAAACAATAGTAGAGCCCTTCATTCTTCCCCTCATGTGGCCCACTGTCACTCTTTTTTTGTTTTTGTTTTTTTACTATTTGACACAGGGTCTTCCTATAGCCACAGCTGACCTGGAACTTGTTATGTAGACCAGGTTGGCCTTGATCTCACAGAGATCCGCCTGTCTCTGCCTCCCGAGTGCTGGGATTAAAGATGTGTATCACCATACCTGGCTGTCATTCTTTGAAAAAATTATTTATTTTTTTAAAAAATATTTTATATATATTTTTTATTTTATGTATATGACTGTATTGCCTGTATGTATGTGAGTGTCCCCGTGTTGTGCAATGCCGCGGAGGTCAGAAGGGCTTTGGAGATTCCCCTTGCAAGAGCAGTCAGTGCTCTTAACCTCTGAGCCATCTCTCCAGCCCCGATTTATTTTTAAAAATAAATAAATTTAATTCATTAATTTTATGTGTATGAGTGTATTGCCTGCATGTGTGTAAGTGCACTCATGTCATGCAGTGCCCACAGAGGTCAGAAGAGGGTGTCGGATCCTCCGGAACTGGAGTTACTGATGGTCATTACCGGCCATATGGGTTCTGGAACTAAATCCAGGTCCCCTGCAAGAGCAGCCAGTGCTCTTAACTGCTGAGCCATCTCTCCAGCCCCGTGGCCGACATCCCTGACAGAGTATTTCTTTTTGGTTTTTACTATTGCTTTGCATCCAAGTATTGGTGTTACTTTGCAACCTATGTGCACCTTTATCTCATTCTTGAATAAAATGTTAAGCACCTAGAAACACTCATCCCAGACCTGGACCACTGGTAGCATTTCCAAGCTCTCCAGTCCAGACCCAGATCTTGCTGTTGTGCAGTGTTATCTAGACAAAGAAGCAACACCCCCCTTCCCTCTCCCCTGGGACACCCCTTACCTCCTTCCTGTCTGGGCTGTGGCTCCATGCTTCTGTGTCTGGAGGGGACTCCCCTATGAGGGACTTGCTGTTTGCCATGCAGTCTGCCCGGGCATCATCCAAAAATTGCTCATTGCACGTTCCCGCCACCTTGTGAGCATGCCTCTTTTGATTAGCCCCCAAATCCTTGAATTTGAGAGGGACCGTCAGGCAAGAGCTTCCTACCCTATAGTTTAGGTAATCTTGTCTCTCCCTGAGTAACTTTTTTTTTGAGTACTTGTCTATGATTTTAAAATCCCTCTGTGCATGACAGCAACATGGCAACTGGGAAAGGGTCTCTGTGTCCCCTCCCTGACCCATGACAAACTCAAGTTTCTAAAAAAAGCACATGACTGGGGAAAGCATAATACTGGCAAACACTAAGCAAAAGACCTGTTCATTCTGTACATTTCCTGTCAAGGAAATATTGGACACGTGCCCAGAAATTAAAGCCAGGTGTGTTGATTCCTGAGCTCCACACGTGTAAACGAAGATCTGGTTGTGAGACAGGTCTCCTGCAGTCCAAGTTGACCTTGAATTCACAATGTAGCTGAGGATGACCTTGAACTCCTGGTGCCCTTGCTTCCACCTCTCAAGTGTTCCCACCTTCAA